CCTTTGTTATATATTGTACTTGCTTAAAGTCACTTCTTACACGATATATTAAATAACTGAAAACATGAATTTACAAATTGAAAATTAGTACTAGAAACATTCTTGTATTTAATTAAGATTCTTATATCTAGATGAACCACTCAAATGCACATTTCCTTTAACCATTGTGGCGTAGGTAACAATAATTTTATACACACTGACTATTACTGTTTCTCTGTGAGCAGCACGTAAATAACATGATTACTTTAACTAAGTCCTGCAGTATACCATACCGTAGTACACAGTCTGAACTTACTTTCTATGATCAGAAACACTATTAATCTTTTATGCACTTCTGTTAAGCATTACTTTGGTGCTTTATGATCAAGAATTTATGATCAAAAATTTCAAAAACATAGCTGTTAATGTTTGATAATGTATACAGCCAAAGAGTTTGTATGCCTTGTAGATATTACTATCTTGCAGCTTGTTTAGGTTTTTCTTGATCTTGCTGTTTTTTAAGTTGTTTTTCTCTCATTCGTTCTGCATCTCTAAAATTACAAAGGTAGTTTTACCAATAACAGTGTAACATTTGATCATACTATATAAAATAGTTATATAGCAATTATAATAATAGTTGCAGTGAAACTTGAATTTACAAGAATTATTAAGATTAAGATTTGTAATTACCAATAAATTGAAAGTCAAACTTTTTCCATAATTGAGAGAATAATATATGCATATTACTAAATTGGGGCAGGGTGAAAATGAAATTATATGACATGATTGTTACCTTGCTTTACGCTGTTCTAAGGAGAGACCTTTATTACTGTCTTGTTCAGCAGCTGATTTTTTTATAGTTTTTTTCATATTTTTGGCACGTGCTAATTCGCGCTGGTTTCCACCTGTATCAAGAGAAATAATATACTTATCTCTGACATGATAATACTTTCTATTACAATACACAATATACATTGATTAAACATAAATCATGATTATACACAATCCTATAAAACTACCAAATAAGTAAAAAAGTGTGTCTGTTACATGTGAAGTCCAGAATTGAATTGTATTCTAACCAAGAAAATGTTGTTCACTGCTTTAAAATATATAAATGAAAAGATTTCATTTACAATTCGCAGGTATATGCATAAAAACCTTCGAGATGTTAAAAAATAATTGCATTCGAAACTATTAAATACAGTAAATCGTAAGTAAACGAAATTTTAAAAAATCGAAATTGAGCCATAGATAATAAAAAAAGGGACATTTTGAGAATTTTCTAGAAGTACAGTTTTGAAGCAACAAACGTGGTTAAATCAAAATATAATGCTTAAAATTTTAGATTTATATGCAAAATATAAATTAAAAGCATAAAATATAAAAGAACACGATATACAACTGTAGGCAAACAAATTCAAGAAAAAAAAAACAAACCCTGTATATGAAATTGAAACAGAGTAGAAAATGAAATTGTTGAAGTTCGAAGGGATATCGTTGCGTTTCGTGCATACGAAGCCAATACATTGTTATAAATAATGTGTGCAATCAATAAAAGTGTAATTCGTAAGGAAAATTTATATTTAAACACTGTGTCTTCGATCTTAAACTAGTCAGCGGACAAATGGCAGACGCAAAATATACGATGCTCCAAATTTTCTTTAGCACACTGCGATTACTTCACACACGACAGCACAAAATTACTGGCAAAAACTTACGGGTCATTCTTTCAGTTCTTGATCTGCAATGAGCAAGTACCTAAAAATTTTGTCCCGACAGAGTACCGCGAAAAAGCACGGCCGTGCACCTGAACTCTTTACTGCTACAGACTAATTTCTAAACCAAAATAAATCTTGCGTCGTCTCAGTTGACAAACATCGATGAGTCCGCCATCTGTATACAAGTTCTGTTTTCATTGACTTTTCGTGGTAAACGCATAGTATTTATTCGTCGCATAAACGCATAGAATTTATAACTTAAAAATTGTGTTTAGAATGTTAAGATACTTATAATCTCGAATCACAAATCAATGAGGAAGCGTAGGTTTCATCTAGAGACGTATCAATGAGAAGCTAATCATATTTGAACGTAATTTAAGGTACGTAGAATAGTTGTATGTTCTTTAAACGAAAATGTAAAAAGTTACTAAAATTCATATAATAACGTTAACGATGCTGTAAAGAGATAAACAAATAATTGGAATTATATAACAGTTGTGTTTATCGCCAGTGAACTTACAATTTAGATACATGTTTTGGTAATTCGTAACAGCTATTAAATATCCATGACAGGAGTAACAATATATATATATTTGGAATATAATGAAATTAATTATTTATAAATTTACTGATTAGGTAACATTCTATAAACATTAGATTGTTAGAACAGATTTTAAATCTTCAATAATGTAAAATTGTAATGTCTAGCGTTAATGTAATATAATTTTAATAAACTGTACGGTAGCTTTCATACATTTAAATCCGCCATGAAGGCAACGGCAATGCCATATCATGGTAAATATTACTATTAATTATATAGAACCTTGGATGTTTTATCGTAGATGGCGCAGTTAGTATATTCATATCACATTTAAACTACACAAGTTTATGCACTAATAGCATCAACAAATTTTTTTTAAATTATGTAATGCAGAATTCTTGCAGATTCTAGTAACTGTAATAAATATTTATTCAAAACTTTATAAGCCAACAAATATTCACACACAAAAGCGATTCATAGCAATTTGACTGAAATCCTAACTACTCACATTTCAAAACTCACAAAAAGATATTTATTAACTGTTGAATAATAAACAATGACATAAGTTCCTACATACAATCTTATAATTAAAATTACAAATGTTTTTTAAAATTCATTTCATATTTTAATTGTTAATTTGATAAAAAAGCTTTTACATGGATGTAAGCAAAGGAGGTCATGTATGAAAACAAAATAACCGTTGTTATTTAAAGAAAGGTTTGAAATCTTGGATCAAAAGTAAAATAAAATTCGTCACATAGAGATTAAAGAGGGCAAGAATTACGTAATTAAATAAATAAATTGAGATACCTTTAATTAAATATGTTTATTCTGCCTGCTGGGGATCCCGGTTTCGAAATAATGGAAATAGCTGACGGCTAAAAACTACCGATGAGTGTACCAATGAGCTATTTCGTAAAGGGACCCTCGAGCCGTGAACTCTGATTCATACTCTGGGACAGTTAGACTGCGTATCTCCCTCTAAATCGGGGAGTACACTCTGAAACCTAAGATACAAAAAAACTGAACCACTTGCCAAAAATACCGTGACGAAACGCAAGTAATGATAAATAAACTGCGATGCACAGATATAAATATTTTGTTACACTTATTGTTTGGAAGGTACATTTCATTACCCCAGAGTTCCGATTATCTGGCACTGTGTGATTACTTGCTAAGATTACATTTCTAATTTGCAAACTACAGAATCTCTTCTACGACGCAAACTGTTCTCCAAAATTATCCACGGATGATAATTGAGAGTTCAGTGTTCTGACACAGATAGTACCGGTATAAAAAAACTCATAACAATATAAAAACGCCATTACGCGTAATGGCAAAATGCTCATACTGTTTGCCAAATTGATAATTCTCAGGTTTATTTTTCTAATACAGATGGTGTCTTTCGACAAAACCCATTTAAATCTAAATTTAACCCCAATTCCCGTATCAGCCAAATGCTGAAACTTGTAGACAAAATTACCAACAGTTGATTTTGCCCTAACAGTTTGAGTATTTTGCCACTGCTTGTAATGGCGCTATTTTTATATTTTAAGAAAGCAGGTACATAATTCGTACCGGATTGTACAGTATATTTTGTAGTGAAGGTGGCAAGAATAATCTGTTTTCTATATTTCCAGTAATAAATCAACTTTTTTTTTGCATATTATAGATTCAGGAAGGTTTACCGAACATTTTTGTATCCTAAAAATATTCTAACCCCTCATTTACCATATTTTAATGGAAGAAATAGTAAAGAACAAAATAGATGTGTAGTCGAATTATCCAGTATATTTATTTATCCGGCATTAGCTCGGTTTCGACCATGCCGGATAATCGGAAGTCTACTGTATACGCATATGTTTGAATAGTAGGAGATGCAAATTTAAGAATTTTAAATTTAACATGATAATGAAAAAATTAAGGCGAAATACACAATTAAACGAACATTTATCATGCAAATTAAGGCATCCAGGTATTAATTTCTTATAATTTATCAAAATAAATAATACGTAGGCTTCAAAAAGAAATACGTAGGTTGCATTCGAAAGAGAGAATGCGTGACGTGTTCAATAAAGCGTAATTAACGATGTGGACGGATATCTTGTGAAATGTCACGGATGCTGAGTAATCTGGGTATTTCTTATAGCATCTTTGGAGTTCTTAGTAATCGAATTCTTAGATAACTCTACACCATATAATAGGCAATCTTTTAAAAATAGCTATTGGAGTAACAAGAACTGGTTTGTTACTTCTTCCTTAACCAATGTACCGTGCAACATTTTCGTGATATTATTTTTGTGCGATTTCAACATGTCCATGTCCAAATGTGGGACATTATGTATTTACATGTATCCATGTGGTTATGTAAACGGTTTTGTTATTCCGTTCTTACATAAAATCTTTCACCGGAATATTATTTACGTTATTTTACCGTCATAAGTTCTTCTATCGACAAAAGCTTGATGCTCCAAAAGGCATAAAATGAAATTTATTTTTTCCCGTGACGCTCATGATCCCCGATAAAATAATTAACTAATCAATTTAAAATTGTGTACGCAGTATTATTTATAACAGTCATAAAAGCATATCGAGTTTTGTTTCTCGATAACAAATTCCACTTGAGAAATATGTCAAAAGATATGGAAAGAAGCCTATAGATTGCTATCTGTATACGTAGATTAATAGCATTGAATTTCTCTTATCATCGACGGGTTATTATTATAACAACGAAATATATATTTCTTTTATTGCACAGAATCTATTTATTTATTTATAGTTCTATGTATATTTTCGTAACTGTGCAGTACGTAACAAAGGAGTAATTATAATGATGACTATCACGTGTTCAGATATCAGAGGTTGGCAAACACGTTATCTGCATGAAGATCTTCGGACAACGAATAACAGATAAGAAATGAATTGTCCTCTTCATTGAGTAGTCATGAGAATAACAATTTTTAAAAATGGAAATAATATCGTCGTTAAACTATTATAAACCTTTCGTGTAAACAATATGAGTGCATTATGCGCTATTTATTTTCCTAATATAATTTCTTATTTCAGTTAATCGATTCAATCAAATAAAATAACAAACCGACATGAACGGTCATGATAAAATTATCTGTTATTTTATTTGAACGACCTTACATCTATTTGTTCGCAAGGAGTACTCAGAATTCTTGAATTTTCGACCACACTTGCCCTCAATATAGTTATTACTCTTCTTGGTCTGAAAAACATCCATATTATGTGGTAAATCTATCATTACATCAAATGGAAACATATCCGTAATATTTTATTAGTATTTTATTATTAGTATTTATTATACAAACATTAAATAAAATTCTATTTCATTCAATAGCCACGTGATCGAAAATACTGAAAAAACAATTTTTATATACGAATCATTTAACAAACAATTATTTATTACTGTAATAAAATTATTAATATAATAATATCCAAAATATAATTTTTTAAATACAGTATTTGAATAATATCGAAACCTAGCAGTGCATCTCGTAGAAGCAGTACATAGCCTGCGCAGGATCGCGGCTGCGCACGGCTGCATGTGTCTCGCGCATGGTTATATAAATAGCGGCGGTGAAAGTTCATGCGGACAGTCGGCTCCGAGGAACAGCAGTGATAGGTGTCCCGAACGTTTTGCCGTGAGTGCATTCGCTATACAAGTTCACGTTGTGTTCTTGATGTGTTAGGGCACAAGCTCAGCGCCACTGTACAGTTTCCTAAGGGCCGTGTATTAGTTCGGATCGATCGACCTATGAGACTCGAGTGAACCGAGGAACCAACAAGGACAGAGAGCAAGATGCCAGCCGACGTAGCGATGCACGTGGACTCGTGCTGGAACACCGAGAACATGAGCGGCTATATGACCTTGGTGGGCCCGAACGGCCATCGTCAAGGTGTGCAAGTGAAGGTCTACCGGACGAGCGTCGAGCATTTCGCGGTGATATACCCGCAGAAAAAAGTCTGCAGGCCTTTGGGCGTGCTGAATCTGAGAAACACGATGATCGAGCTTTTCGGTGACGAGGGATTCTTAGTCAGACAGAAGGGATTCGACTCGCCAGTCGCGTTAACCTTTCTCATGGAGAACAAGAAGGAGCTGCACTACTGGCTGATGGCTTTCACGGCGAGAACGAGCCCGCTGGTGCACCAGAGCAGTCTGCCGATCGTCGAGGAAGAGGAGATCTAAAAATGCGGTCTTCGACCGCGTTCAGTCACACCGCATCGTGACATGTTTCGCTTGTCATTGACGTCGGACGGCCGAAAGCCGGACGACGTGCGAGGTGCGTCTCGCACCTCGAGGACTGCGCTCGTTGGACAGCCCGTTTAATTACGACGTAATAATTACGCGAGCTTTCTTCCTCCTTGGTCTCTTGTTGTTCATCGGTCGAGCAGTGTCGGGCTGGAACCTCCGCTCTGGTCCACCGAGGAACGCCGTTCCGCGTTCCATAAGCGTCGTCTGTACGGAACGAAACTGGCATCCCTCGTGATACACGGTGAGGAAATAAATCGCCAATTAGCCGGACCCCGGCCAATCACGAGGCCGGATGGATTCCAAAGACCTGCCAAGCCTTCGAAGCATCTAATACCGATCGATTGATTCGCGGCTCCGAGGCCGTTAACCTACAAGATCATTGGCCCAGACTGAGACCCGTTCGCATCGAAATAGATTACTAATTGGCCAATCGCGGATCGTACGGATTCTAAGAGATTACGAAGCTACGGGGTGATTAAACGCCGATCGATCGATTTTCAGTTCAAGGGCATCGACACGAAGTCACGAAAGATCATTGACCCGGGGGGCTAGAATCGTCGCAGTCGGTGCTAGTCTCCTATGGACGACAGATATATCACTGTCACTGTCTGGAGAAGTCGAAGGATCGCAACAAGAGGCCATGTTGGCAGCGGGCTACAGCAGCCGGCAGTATCATCGATCCTATCCAGCTGTGACCAATCGCAGCCTTTCTTTTAATCGGCACCGAGAGTGGAGGATAAAGAGAGAGAGAGAGAGAGAGAAAGAGGTAGGGAAACTCGAAGGAGAATAAAAGTCTGTGAAAGGGAGGGAAAGCTGCAGGCGAAGGAACCACGGGTACGAATGTTCGAGAAGGACAGCTGTTTTCCTGTAGGAGATTATCCAGGCGGCTGCGATTCGCTGCGCACACCGGCGCGGCTCTTCCCTTTCTGCGCGAAAACTACCGTTAACTTTAACCTGGCAACCAAGAGACACCGGATTTTCTCCCGGCTTCCCCTGTTCGCCGGCTAGAAAGAACTTCCTCTGTGATTCGGTCGTGCGTGCAAATGGGGACCGGTTGCACTTGTATATACATATACCTACGCAATATTTATTATACCGTTTCCGTTTATCTCGCATTTCAATTCTTCACTGCGCCACCTTTGTCGGGTTCTCAGATCATGTTGCTCGGGGGACATCGGCGAGATGTCCGACATCGATCCTGTTTTGTTAATTGACTCCTTGCCTTTATTTGTCATTGATCAGTATGGCGGCGAACGTTTCGGTAAGCGTGCAACTCTTTTGTCTTGATTTTTTTAATCCTTTTAAGGTTTTCTTACTGTAAAAAGATACTTTTAAACGCAAGTTGAAAGCGAACACCCGGTTATTGACGCAAGAGTTAATGAACGCGAACATTGTTCGTCTCGCGCAGTATAAAGTGCAATATTATTTTACCGTTTTGTTATTCAATCTACACGATACGTACACAGGCCACACACATGCGAGCAAATTATCTCTAGTTCTCTGAGAAGACTGTTCGTGACGAACACCGACGGATACGATCTCGTAAAAAAAAAATGATAAGGTAAGGGGTTAGGCAGGGTTCACACGTGTGTGACGTAAGTGCCGGCAGTGAAATCGTGTTGCGCGTGAAAAGCTACGAACGATTTCTGTGGAGGTAGTGCGCGAGGTCGCGGACCGTATTATCGTGCTCCACGTTGTTTTGCCAGTGATTGTTAACCGCGCTGGAAGAACAGACGCAAATGCGGCGGAAGTTAATAAATTACCAGTGACAAGAACAGCAACGCGAATGTTTTCGTACGCATGGAATGTCGCGCCCGTGTGAACTCGGCCTCCTGTATCAGCCGATAACGAATTTTCGGGTTTAGTAAACCGATGATGCAAATGAATTTCTGAGGCACTCTCCCTTTTCACAAAATGGCGGACGAGAACGAGAACTGACTCTCTTGAATGTAAATACCGAATTTGAGAAACGGTTG